TGAGTTTTTCTGGCGATGAAATTAGGTTTTGCAGAGGTCGGTACCTCGATCTTGCCCCAACCATTTCAAGCTGTTGAGAAATCTGACCAACAATTTGTACCCACTCATGGTAGTTATTTTTTGGAAGCAGGTGATTGCTAGCAAGCGCTTTTAAGAGATTGTCGTTAAGGGCGTTACGGAGCATAACAATTTTGGACCGATCAGCCCATCCGTCACAATGAGCTTCGCTAAGTTTATTTGCCCACTCAGCAAAAAAACTTGGCCAAGATTGCTTTTCTCCCATCTTCATGTCGTAAAGTTCGTTAGTAGCTCTATCGACTCGTGTCGGATCGTTATTTGTCCTGTCCAGAAACTCCAGAAAATCTTCCGGCCTCTGTGTCTCGTTGATACCTCCCACTTCAAAAAATGAAACAGCTTTTCGTTGCGCTTCACCTCTCAATGCGTTATATATCATCAAGAATGCTCTTTGGTTGTCATAATTAAACGTATTCCAGTCCATTCGAAAAATGCTCAAGACTGCTCGCCTCCATGCTGGATAGCTCTGTCGATTTCCCTCGTACACGGGCAGCGTAGTTGGTTTAATGCCGAACACGTTGTCCGCCGGCGGGTTTTTAATTATCACTACCTTATTAGAGGTCTCCGGCAAAGTATTTGCCGCTCGCTCAGCAGTCAGAGCATCAATCTGTTCTTGCAGGTAGGAAATGCTCAGCTCATACCTATCGTCGATTTCTTTTTGTGCTGCCAAGTTAGATGTCATTTTTGCAGGTTTGTTATATTCCAGCCCTAAACTTGTTCTCTTACTGGCTAGCTTCTGATAATGGGTTGCTGATATCAACTCTTAACTGATCGCAGATAAGCTTGTCGTCGTCGTGTAAAGGGCTCGGCCTCTTATACTTTCGTCTTAGGAGTTAGCTGTTGGCTCTCCTCGTCGTCGTCGTCGTCGTCGTCGTCGTCGTCGTCGTCGTCGTCGTCGTCGTCTAGATTTCTTCACCTTATTAGGTGGTATTTGGAATGGGGAGAATGATAATATGTCACGGATCAAGGAACAGGCGCTGGTGCAACTATGTGGTTGATGGTATGTAAATTATCATTCTGAAGAGAAAACTACTTCAGTCTCTATCTTTACTTATATATACATTGTCTATGTGGTTGAGGCACAGTCCCTCCCTCTCGGTTCCAATGGGATTCTTTACATGTGTTGTAGCTGTATGGTCCAATACTGCTGCCCTGCCGAACTAGATGCCGATGCCTTGATATTCTGTTGAGTGGCATCATATATCCACACATTGATGTCGATCAATCGTGCGCTACCAATATCAGGCTAGGCTCATGTTGGCCAACATGCGCTACAGGAACCAATCGGCTTACCAGCCGTTACAATCTACAGGCGATTGTCGGAGAGTCTGAGTTGACAGTTCATAGAGAGAACCTTATCGAGGAGGGGTATTTCAGTCTGTATATATAGGTAGTCATTAAGTACAGGAATTCTCTCTTCAGAGAATTATGATTAAAATATTGTACCTACAATATCGCTCATGCATTTTGTAATGAAACCGTGACAACTATTACAAAACATGTAGTATGCTTTCATTTTAGTTGCGAGGCACACTGAGGGCTTCGATGTATACTTTTGTGATACAGAGCAATTATTTTTGAAATAGATGTGTATTTTTAGATAATATCCATTGATTTTTTTAATTTTTAATTTTAAATGAGGACCATTGTACTTTTCCTTTGGTGTTGAAAACTGTCCCCATTTATTTTGACTTACACGGAATATTATTGGATAGTACCCCTGCTTGCATAATTAGTCGATAAACTAGACATGGGTCTGCATGAAGACAATACCAATTAAGGCCAAATGTACAGCGATCTAACCCCGGTCATTTTAACAATTGTACTATTACACCCCATAAGAGACTGTAGTGGATTCCCCCAGTTGATTTCCTCTCCAGTTTAATATTCTCTTTTGTACCTAGATCAAGATAGTTCGTGAATAACATCTTTCTTACAATCCTTACACTAAGCCCTTATTTATTTACATGATTCCTTTCCATTTTTCCATCTTGACAAAAGTCTCATCCTAATAATAATAGAGTACACAGTGCCAAGAGCTGCGGTATTATCACAGCCGCTTGGGAGAAGACTGATAAATACTTTGGAGGTACTTAAACACAGTGCACAGAACGTTGTCAAACTCGAGGGTGCCAAAAGTAGTGTCGGGAGTGTTACTAAGTGATTTGGTCGATATCTGAGGAGTTTGGCGAGAGTCAAAGGTATAAATTTGTAATTGTAACTAGAACTAGGTACGAGGGAATCTTCGGTCGGAGACAAGGCCAGTGGAAGACGGAAAAGAAAACGTGACCCCCTATTGCGGCTCTGTCCAATCCATATATACATCATAGTAACCAGAGCAACCTAGGTCTCATAGAGTCCACCTTCTACTACTCGATTACTCAATTCGTAACCCATGGCAACCATTGTATCGCAGTAACCACTATCCTCAGTTCCTGACAAACGTAAACTGTGTGTCACATTTCTGCGGTTATGTTGGTGGATCTTGTCTATTCTATTATTCTGCAAAAGATACTAATATTCATGATGAACAATGAACAATGAAATAGAAAATTCCCACAGTGTTACAGGAGTATCAAGAATCTTGTAGGTGATTGTCGAAGAGTTTGAGCTGTCAATTCAAAAAGAGAACCTTCTCGAAGGGGGATATTTCAGATTGTAGATATGGGTAGTCATTAGCCACAGGAATTCTCTATGTCAGAGAATACTAATTAACATATTGTACCCACAAGATCACCCACGCATTTTGTAATGAGACTATTATTGTGAGGTTATAGATCGTAGAGGAATGCTGGAATGGTATAGGGAGGGGAAGGATATCTGCCGAACAGCGAAGCAGTTGAATAGAGCTTCAGGGTGACGCTTAGAGGGTATGAATAGACCTTCAGAGATATTCAGCAAAGGTAATGAACCGAGGATTCATGAGCGTTGGATTGGTAATGTGATTACTATAGATAGTCAATCACGAGATGGAACTAAGACTATGACATGGGTCATACAGATGTATATAAGATAGCATATATTCATGCGTCTGACAGTATCGAAATATGTCGAACACATCCTCTACATACTCCAATCAGATATATCAAGTGACAAGTAACTATGTTCCCATATGACTCATAACCTTAACACCATGTCCCAGTATGGCGAAGTTATCATGGCAAAGATATGTCTTGACCACCAGTAGACCCCCAAGCTAGCTGAGTGTAAGACAGAATCGTGCATATTCCGTAATTTCCAACATATCTTATGGTAAGCGCCAAGAGTAATTTATATTACAGAAAATAGATGTGGCGCAGTATTGAATGATACGAATAACGGAAACGAAAACGAGATAGTACATGACTGGTGTAATAGATGCAGGACAGTTAGAATCACAACAACTATGACAGAAATTGTGTGAATCAGTCGGAGGAAAAAGCGATAATTTACGCTGTGTTCTCTCGTCATAGGAGTGATGCACACTAGATACTGTTCATACGAATCGTACAGGGGAAATAGAGCTAGAGTGTGAATAGTGGATATAAGGTTTTCATTGGGAACCCTTGCGTAATGAAGGTAATTGTTACTGATAGGATTATATTTCATTTTCCAACACGAAGCTGTAGTGGATTAGACTCCAAGGGCAGTCTGGTGGTGTACTGTAATGAATGAAACAGTGATGATACAATTCTCGCGCGCAATTTTGATCACTTTGTCCTTGCTTATCCTGAGTTGGAAAAAATATCCCAGAAGTTTGAGATAGCAGAATATAAGGGGGACTATTCTCAACACCTGTTAGTGGTGTCCCCTACGAATCTCTAGCTCTCACTGTAGGTTCTGCAGAGCCGAGATTGAGTATCAGAGCCCTTACTTCGACGAGGATTCCCAATTGCTTTCGCGGTCTGTATCGTCTTCTTCCTTCAACACATTCCCCAATCACCATTATCATGAAGCTAACTACGATCAGATCAGATGGTAAGGTCGGGGCCCCACTCATCACCAATCCTTGATCATGGAAGAGAAGCCATCCGATGAGTTTCCGGAGCGTACCCAGCACCCGATACGGAGATGGTGGATTGGATCAAGTCGACCTCGACTGTCACAAAGAAGGGAGATATAGATGAATATACGCACCTCATGTGGTCCTGGTGTCTATGCCTCGCCTGGCTGGGGCTGCAGGTTTTTTGAGACTTTTTCCCGCGCACGCAGTTTCCATTGCTACAATTTTTATTTTCTTTGGGTAGAAGGTTCCGTGGAAAGGTGGCCGAATTCCACGGGCAAACACTGAGCTGAATGGCTATTCATCAAGGGGAATATATCAATGATCTTTCAAGCAATATGAGAGGCAAGGAGCACTATACAAGGTATGGCCTGGGTCAGAGAGGAGCCCAATGTGCTAGATAATCAGACTCGTGTAATATAGTAAACAACACACGCACACACAGCAGAATATACCAGCAGGGGTATTTGTCGGATGAAGGATTGAAGATGAGATACTCATCCTTGTATGTCCATCAGCTGAGTTAAATATAATCTTCATTTCAAGGTTAAATTAAGGTTACTTGAGTTAAATAATCAGCAATGAAGGAGCTCTTTAGTCAGAGCTTCACTCATTCATTCCTCTACTTCCATACGCCATGGAATAGACCCCACATGCTGCCGCTTCCTTCAATTCAAATACAGATGTAGATATGCTGAAATTTTATCTTGTCAAAAACATAAGTTTAATCGGCCTTTATTCCAGGTAAGAGACACTTTCGCGATTTTTGACTGACTATTCTTTGATTAATTTCAACATAAATGTTGCAGCAGAACAACGAAAACGAGCTAAAAAGCGAGACTCATTCGAACTGCTGTTTCCTCTCGACTTAGACTCGAACTTAATTTTAGACGGCCTAGTGTCCCGAAGTCACATTAAGATTCTGCAGAACTACACTCTCGAAATGAAGTTTCTCAGAACTGCAACAGCCGCGGTGTTGGCTAATCTTTTACTTCTGGTACTAGCTGTTTGTGGAAAGAGACATTATAAATGTGATCATGGCCGACCCTTTAGTGAGGAATACATAATAAGTAAAGCACGGTACGCTAGTGCTGATGATAACCGTTATGGAAATCTTGCTGTTCCCACAGGGGAATCATACATATCATTATTTTTCGCCAATCCTTTACTAAAAAATTGTTAGTTTTCCCCTTTCTTCAAAATTTGTCTTATTAATTGTTCCTTTCTAGCATTAGATCTAGGTTGTTACTTAATTCAAGTATATGGGCAACCTCCAAAATACCAATTCTCTCAATATGTTGACAATAAATGGAAACTGTGCACTTTAGAAAGTAGAAGTTAACAGGCACAAACATTCCGCAGTTATCTACATTAATGTAGGGCCTGCAAATGGTAACTTGCAAAGAATATTTTTGCAATTTAAGCGGCCATTAAGTCTGAGGATTCCTGTAGCCTACACTGGCTAGCGCAGAAAATGATACTAACTGTCGGTTTATCTAAGACGTAAAAGTAGATGTGTCATCATGTGGGGATCACATGATGACTTCAGCATGGATGCGCTAGCCAGGATCCACAGTATAGCTGTGGATCCTGTATAGCATAGACAAGACAATTATGAACACTTTAGACCAACACAGAATCGTACAACTCTTTACTGAATCATTACGATCGATCGTGAAACCACACCGTAGTAATTCCAACACTAACAGAATATTCGGGAAGTATCTCGAAAGACACGGAGCTTAAAAGATTCTTAATGAGCCTTCCGGAAACACACTGAAGGTCCATGAGGATGATAGGTGAAACGAGAATCTTCCTGGGAATTATCGAAGAGTCCATATAATTCTGGTCATAGGTGTAACGGCTAGTGAGCCGGTAATTACCCTGTGGCACATGATGTTAATCACGTGCTTCACAACTTTACGAAACCACTATTCTATCATAGATTAATCTGGACATCACTAGAAATTTCTAGCAACTAGTAGTAAGACTGCGAACCAGCCTCAGGGGAAAATACTAGAAACTGGTATTAGTCAAGAATATTCTAGATAGAATAGTAAGCGAATAAATAGTTGAAGTTGGACGTACATAGATAGCCATAGAGAAAATAATAAACAACCTTCGTATATTTGATCGCCCCAGCATCTATACCTCGAACCGTGACATATTATTTTCTCTCATTCAGGCATTCAGAACCGCAGTCAGTCGCAGTAATTCAGTATCGCAGTCAGTCGCAGTAATTCAGAACCGCAGTCAGTCGCAGAAATTCAGAATCGTAGTCAGTCGCAGAAATTCAGAATCGTAGTCAGTCACAGTAACTCGGAACCGCAGTGAGTTGTAGTCATTCAGTAATAAATCTCAATAATAATGACATCATCGGTAACCGGGGGACGCCACCAGATGGTACCTATCGAGGAATTCCGCGAACTTCAGCATCAGTTTAAAAAATTGCTCGAGAAGCAATCTTGTAAACCTACGTCTACTAAAAGATTTATCATTGAGAAGGATCCACCACCAAGCGAGCACACCAGTCTAAAGCCGACAAAGCTTCCGGAATTCATTGGAATTAGAGCTGAATACCCAGCATGGCGTGCTGCTGTCTTGGATACTTTCCGTATGGACTGGAATCTTTTCGGATACGACAATTCTCGAGCTTTCCTGATGATCTATAACGCACTGAAGGGCACGGCAAGAACAAAGGCCAGCTCGTTCTACGAAGCTGGCGGAGTTCGGAATACCAGAGATCCCGAAGATTTCATTGAATTCCTCGACAGGCTTTTTCTAGATTCGACAAGAATTTCTCGTGCTAAAACAGAGCTACAGTCTATGAAAATGGAGGATAAACAACACTGGTCGGACTTTCTAGCATCTTGGTCGAACAAATTGACTGAGGCTCGAGGAGATTTTTGGCCAGATGACAACAAAATCTCCCTGCTCCAGAATGCTTTAAACAAAAAGTTGACTATGGCGCTAGCCTCAAATCACATGTTGCCTGACGATGATTTCAATGAATGGGTGAATATAGTGAACAGGGTTGCACAGCAGTTTGAGATAGCTGAGAGTCGATTCTATGGAAGACGGGATTACACATACCCTGATGCGAATCTATGGCATGGAAATCGAGATAAGGGACGCACTATCGGAAATAACGGAATCAATTGGTTACCGCATAATCAAATATCAGATAATTTCGATAGTCGATTCAGTAACCTCGGAAAGGACGGGGCGGTGGATAAGTCAGGGGACACTGTTATGGGCGGTGTTAACGCAATGGGTGTGGTAAAAGATGAACGCCGGCGAGCAATGTGGAAAACTAAATCTCAATTAGAAATATTGAGACAAGAAGGCCGTTGCTTTAGATGTGAGCGGAAAGGGTGTATAACCAGAAAGTGTCCTCTATTGCCGGCTTTAAAGCCTAGAGGTAATTCAGTCAGGGTTACATCTACGTCATTGCCGGAAATAGACCCATCAATGTACTATGTGGAGGAAGTGGAAGTGGAATCGGAAAACTAAAGGCTCCTGAACATAGTCGCGCTCAGGAGCCAGAAACAGTCAGCAGTTTTGAAGCGAGCATGAATACAAAACCTTTTCTTTTAAATGCATTACTAAATGATACAAAAATGGTACAAGCATTAGTAGACAATGGTTGCTTGTGTTTTGGAATTATTGATGAAGCATTAGCTGAAAAACTGCGACTGCCGCGCATTCCGATTACACCAAGACTACTAGAAACTGCAGATAATTCATCTACAAACAAGCCAACTGTGGATAAAATTACGTACATATCACTAGATCTTGATGGATATATCACCCCAAAACTGTGGCTCTACATTGTCCCTCAGAGCACACATCAGTTGATATTAGGGAAAAAATGGCTCGAAGAACAAGATGCTGTAATTCATTCTAAAGAGCAGCGATTGGAGCTTCGCAAGTATGGTGGATCTGTATGCAGCGTCGAGCGATGGCGACAAGATTTGAGAAATGTGGCTCGGCCAAAGAATGTTCCAATCAAAACTATGGCGTTAATGGTCCAGACTGTCCCAGTTTGCAAGGCATCGCTCGAAGATATAAGTAAAGTATTACGTGGAAAACCGGGTGTTTCGTTAGAAATAGCGCGGAATCGCCTACCTGACCAAGTCAAGGATTTTGCTCATTTATTTGCAGATGACACAGGGGCAAAAGACTTACCATCTTCGCGCGGGGCACTTGACCATTCTATAGAGTTAAAGAAAGAAAATGGGAAACCTCTGTCACCACCATGGGGACCACTTTACAGTATGTCAAGAGAAGAGTTGCTTGTTTTGAGGAAAACCCTGACCGACCTCCTGGAAAAGGGTTGGATTCGACCCAGCAAGTCAGCAGCAGCGGCACCGGTACTTTTTGCAAAGAAGCCAAACGGAGGCCTTAGATTCTGCGTAGATTACAGGGGACTAAATGCGATAACGGTGCCTGATCGATATCCACTTCCGTTATTCAAAGAAACGCTACGTCAGTTATCTAAAGCAAGATGGTTTACCAAACTTGACGTAAAATCAGCTTTCCATAGAATACGTATCAAGGAGGGCAGTGAATGGATGACGGCATTCCGCTGTCGGTTTGGTCTCTTCGAGTGGATGGTAACGCCTTTCGGTCTTTCCAACGCACCAGCAACGTTTCAAAGATATATTAATGAGCAATTGCGCGAGCACCTTGACATTGATGCCACAGCCTACATGGACGACGTTCTGGCGTATACATCAGGGAGTGAGGAGGAACATTGGAAGGTAGTCAGAAGCATATTATCGAAACTCAAAAGTGCAGGACTATACCTTGATATTGATAAATGTGAATTCCTTTGTCAGGAAGTTAAATATCTTGGATTTATCATCAAGGCAGGTGAGAATGTTTCGACAGACCCGGACAAAGTGAAAGCCATACTGGAATGGAAGGCGCCTACCTCCGTCAAAGGTGTTAGATCATTCCTAGGATTTGCTAACTTTTATCGATGTTTTATAAATAAGTTTTCTGACATCGCTGCCCCGTTAATAGATTTGACCAAGAAGAATTCATCATGGAATTGGGGTGAGAAACAAAATTCAGCATTCGAGCAATTAAAGAGAATTTTTGCAACATCACCTGTCTTAGCTCAATGGGACCCAGATCGTGATACTGTTTTAGAAGCAGACTGTTCTGGCTATGCACTGGGTGGTTGCTTATCACAATTAGACGATCTGAATAAATTACGACCAGTTGCATATTTTTCAAGAAGATTGTCAGGCGCCGAGTAAAATTACCCTATTCATGACAAAGAAATGCTTGCAATTATTGAATGTCTCAAGGAGTGGCAGGCTGAATTAAAATCAGTGGCAAAACCCTTCACTATACTTAGTGATCATAAAAATCTCAATTACTTTGCTTCAAAAAAGCTTCTCAACGAACGACAGGCTAGGTATAACGATACCTTGCAACAGTTTAATTTTAACATTCAGTGGCGAGCAGGAGCTGCTAGCGAGCGACCGGATGCATTGTCAAGGCGAGAACAAGATAAGCCCACAGGTCTCGACGATGAAAGAAATGCCGGAAGGGTTATACAGTTATTGCCAACAGTTTCTATCCACCCTGTCAATACCAGAAAAACTAAACGTAACACAAACCAAACCATGGACCCAGCCGCTGAAGCAATTCTTTTTGAGAGCGATGAGCTACAAGCTCTATGGGCGAAGGGTATTGAAATAGATAACGACTGGAAGCGAGCTCGAAATGCTGTACAAGCGGGTGAAAGATGCTTTCCTCCAGATATCGCCTTAAAGTATAGAGCTAATATCGCTGAATGTACAGTGGCTGCAGATAGAGTGCTGAGAGGTCGTGAAAATAGAATTTGGGTGCCAGATCACGAGCCACTTCGAACAGCTATTTTACAGCAGACACACGATAGCCATCTTGCAGGACATCCAGGGAGAGACACAATGGTAGGTATCCTACTACGGAGATGGTTTTGGCCCAAAATGAGGGAATCGGTGCGTCGGTTTGTTCGGAATTGTGACGTTTGTGGACGCTCAACTGTTTGGAGGGAAGCAAAAGCTGGGTTTCTTCGGTCGTTACCAATTCCAGAAAGGGTTGGCTGTGAACTTACGATTGACTTCGTCACTGATCTGCCCCCGTCAAATGGGTGTACCAATATTATGGTAATAACTGATTGTTTGTCGAAGGAAGTTTTCATATTTGGTACAAACTCAATGACGTCAGAAGAATGTGCCAAAGTCTTTGTTGACCGATACTATCGCTACCACGGATTTCCTAGATACCTAACTAGTGACCGCGGCAGCGACTGGGTAAGCCATTTTTGGAAGACATTCTGTGAGT